AAGAAAAAAGTGGCTGCATATTACAAGTGAGATTGTAGATTTCACACCCATGCATGCTCATTACAAAGCAGTATGTATTTTTCTGCTGTTTCTCTGATACGAAGCAGGTGATTAGAAGCGAACAGATTGAGAGACAACTGTCATGTAGGCTAAGTGTTAAAAGAAAGCAAGCTCATGTTATCCCAACTTCACCATCATAACACTTCCAACTACTACTTGCTTGTCAAAATGAGGCAAAATGAACAACTAGGGAAACAAACAAGAACTAAAATAAACCCTAGTAGGTACCCTTTGGTAATAGCACCTTAAAGCTCTTTTAACAAAAAAAAACTTTCTAGCAACAGAAAAATTTGCTCATGTCTGTATATGCAGTGAGTTTCCAGGTATGTTTCATGATTGCTAGAAAATATATTAATTTTATTTTATCTGAATGAATGGGAAAAAAATAATTCCTACACCTGCTGAAGCTACTACCAGCTTAGCATGTGTTCAACTGAGCCACTTCCAGGTCTTCTGTACTTTCATTAATATTTATCTTGGCAGTCAGTAGAAAAACAAAACATAGTAATTCAGAAAGTAGAAAAAAAGCCAATACATAGCTAAAGAAAAACATACATGAACACTTCAGGCAACCTTTTTTCCTGTGCTTTTGCTTTTTCCTCTCCATGTGTCTTAATAGTTTCCTGCAGTTACATCTTTAGAAAAGCTATCATTCAAATCAATATGAATGTAATAGATTAACATATGCACACAATTCTCTGCTCTTGCTAATGCCTTAGGATTCTTAAGATTTGTAGCAAATATGGATTTTTAGTATGGCTGTACAGTTTCTTACACTTTAAAATAGCAGTTGACAGTTACCAAACCCTGTTCTCACACTTCATGTCAAATTTTCTAAATTCTTCAGATTTTGTTTAATGTTCTTTTCAAGGGAAAAGACTTTACCAAGCACATCTTGTTCAGGACATGTGCATCTGGACCAGAATAATAAGATATCATTATAGCCAAAGGAACTTTGAAGGCCCAGGAACCTTAGAGGAGCTCCAAAGGCCGCGCATGCTGTGAGGAGGAAGAAGATGAGGAAGAAAGGGGTCTTGAGACCTCCAACTCAGTTCCAGGGAGGCGTGCCAGGGGGGTAGATCTGGAGGGGTCCTGGGGGCAGATTGTTCTCAGATTGAATGGATTAGTACTATAAAACTGTAGAACCCCTGGACACTCATGTGCACATTATGTATTTGCTGCACCAAAATGCACTTTACTAAAAGAAACATTTTCTACCTTACCTATACTAATATTGTCCAGAAAGCTTTCTCTATTTTAGGCAGCATTGCAAGTCATACATTTCTTCATGTATTTTATGGGGGTTTGAAACTACAGTTCCCAAAAGCCACAGAAGAACCACTTGACACAAACACAAACATAATGTACAAACATATCCATGCATAATACCCATGGAAAGCTCCAACATCCATTCATCAATTCTTCCCTTCCCACCTTGCTTCCATTGCTACATAAGTGAATATTCAGTCCTTCCCTTTACAGATTCCAATACATTTTAGCTTACAACATTTCCATATAAAGATATTCCTAAGGTTTTTGTAGAAATTAAAATATTTTCAAAACAGGAAAGAGTTATTAGAAGGGCGTGCTTCTATGAAATGAGCATTATTTCTGAATTCCAACACCTGTGGGGGTTTTTAGATAGCTTTGTATTCAGATCCGTTGCATATAGGACAAACTGGCTGATATAAATCAAAGGCAAGACTATGTTTCAATGTAGTCAAGGTAGATATGTATGTATTTATGTACACATAAATATATCTACATCTGTATATATCCTGACTATATTTAAAGGTAGTGCTGTCTATGATTTATATCAACTGGTTTGCTACATAGTAGATAGGATCAGAGGGGCTCCTGTGACTCTCATGTTTTAATACTTTTTTTTAACCCTGTATCTTCCCTGTGACTTTTGCAGCCATAAGGACAGGTTTACTACATTTTGGTATGGCAATGCACTGGGAATTCCAAGCTCTGCAAACCTTACTCAATACTATTACCTGAAGTCAAAATCAGGAAGCTGTAAGAGAACTGAACGGTCCAATGGTTTTTTTATATTGTTTAAGTGGAATTTGCAAGAAACATGAATAACTATTTTTCTGCCCTTCTTACATGCATAATAATAAGATTAACATCACTTTAAACACTATTTACAAACACAAGGAAATAATTCAATTCTATAATTCCTCTTTTCCAGTGCAATATTCTTTCATACTCTGTTACAAACAAATCTGCCATTGGGCCCTGAAAGAATAAAAGGACGATTCTACTTATAATAATATGTGGGAAATAAATACTTAGATTATGATTTGATACCTGCTGGAGGACAATTCAAGTGAAGTTTATGTGAAATCTAGAATAATATATCTTTTCTTCAGAAAAACAATCAATACAAAGTGTAGCTTTATAATATCATACATGTGTGTACTTTCTGTTACTTCCAAATTACAGAAGGGACTAAGTAACTGAAAAGTGCTAAAAAACACAAGCTGAAAACAAGAAAGGTGCCAGAGCACAAATTTAATATCAATTTGGCTGGCAAGGTCAGTGTTCATGTTGCTTTCTATGAGCACTAGCGGTGTCATCCAGGTACTAAGGGTTGATGATAACATGCAATTTCCATGTTTAGTAGTGGAATAGAGCAGGATACAGGAGAGTTCTTCCGAAACACAGGGGCATCCTTTAAATACAAATATGAGACAGAAGCTCAGTTTGGAAGTGACAGAGAATAAATGTGGAAAGCAACTTAGATGAGGATAAGGATAAAAATAACAGTTCTGGATTTTAGGAAGAAAACCATGGGAAAAAGTCAATATCCTTCAGGAAAGCAGACTTCTATAACCCTACAGCTGTGGTCACTGAGGTCTAGTGGGATGGATGTCTAGAAAAGAGAAGGTAGTGAGGAGAGCTGGTGACCTTTAAAGGGCACAGGTGCAAGTTATCACAGTTCAATGAAAAGATAAGGAAGGGTTGGACAGCACTGACTTGGCTAATTCAGTTTTTCAGCGGTTTCAAAAAGAAAGCTCAAAGTAGAAATCAGGTTAGATTATTCTTTGATACCACTGGCAATGTAAAAACACACATACGCAAAAAAACAAACAAAACAAAACAAACCCAAAAAAAAAAAAAGGCACAAGAAAAAAAACATACTGAGAAGATAAGAAAATCTAGAAAGACCAATCTTTGAAGAGGTAAGAAGAAATTAAACTTATTTTATAAGTAATTTAATAAAAAGACAACCACAAAAGAGCTGGCTTGATACACAGTGAAGAGGAAGCTCTCCTTTTCAGTTCTCAGTGACTGACATATTCAATACCAGTTTGCCTCCTTCTTCACTCAGGATGTGATCAATGTTTAACATGACCAGTCCAAGTAACAGAAAGGTAAAAATTCCAACAGATTTAGGAGCATGGTGGATGTTTTGAAGCTGGCAGTGCTGTTGAAATTAATTATTGAGTAGAATAAGACCAGTCTCTCCATGAATAGTGCAGCCCGTTTAACAGCACACTGGAGCAGACAGCAGAGGAGAGGAACCTGCCTTCTTGCCAGCAACAGGGAACTTATTGGCCCTTTTTACAGTCCTAAAACCAGTGTTTGCAAAAGGCCAAAGGAAGCAGCTCAAGAACAGTCAGCAGTTCTGCTTCAGATTTCATAAAGACCTGGATGAGCTCTGAAAACTGAGGACCGAAAAAACACTTGGTGACTACATTTAAAACAGGGAGAAAGAAAGAGGAGTACTTAAAACTCTGAACCCTGTCAGATTACCTGACTTCTAGAAAAAAGGAGAACAAGAATGTTTAAGTGCTGTAGAGATGTAAATAGCACTTCTTCATTAGAGGGCATAGATCCTGAATGGGGAGTAAGAGTAAGTGTTAATACCTTGACTTTAAGCTTTGATTACAAAGCTGTTTCAGATTATTTTCTTCTAAGAATACAAAGGTAAGTTAAGAGAAAGCAGTGTGTAGGACAAACTAAATAACGAAAGTATTACAGCAGATTAGTGATAAACTGGAACAGGGTACGGAGTGAGGTTTTACAAGTCTATCCCAAGTCCAGAACTATAAAGTACTTCTTTACCAACTTGGATGAAAGAAATAACAGGTATTGTTAGCAAATTTACACGTAATATTGATCTGGAAGGACCAGAGTTAGAATTCAAAATCTTAATTAACTGAATTCTTACAGACTACATCAGAGGTTAGGTAGTGCTTAATAACAGCAACTACAAAGCTCTACACTTACAGGTAATCAGCTCACAGTCATAGGAAAACGCATGACTCCAAACACAGCTGCACTGCAGAAAGAGATCTAGGAATTAACAAGTGTATTTTGCGGTCCAAGAGGAAATGCATAATGGAACAGGCTTTATCAGCCATGAGAATTTCTTCACTCATTTAAGTGGCTGATTTGCCCTTAGCTGGAGAGTCATGCTGAGTTCTGGGCACTCATTCAAGAAAGATATGAACCAGTTAGAAAAGGCAGTAAAAATAATTAGAGGACTGGAATTCAAGTTATTCAGTCTAAAAGTATGAAAAAGAATGTGGCAAAAAAAAAAATTACATTAGAATAAATCCTTTAGATCCATTGTCTACAGGAAATAGCTCAAAAGCTTTTACTTTACATGCCAACAAAAAAGTCCTTATATCCAAGACTTTCAGAAATGGAAGACAGTGTCTAGAACCATTCCTGTCTGAGAGCAGACTAGACACGCCCCTAAGAGAGATAGGTAGAAGCAGCATAACACTGATCCTCTAATTAAATGCAAAATAAAATAATCAAGTAAAAAGAATTGCAGTTGGGGATACAGGGGAGTGCCTGTCCTATATAAAGTATATCTGAATTATTTGAATTACGTTTGTGTTTGAGTTGTGTGGCAAGGTTTTGGTAGCAGGGGTGTAGAGGAGTAGCATCTGTGAGAAGCTGCTAGAAGCTTCCCACATGTTCAACAGAACCAGTGCTAGCTTGCTCCAAGATGAACCCACCACTGACCAAGGCCAAATGCATCAGCTGTGATGGTAGCACCTCTGAGATAATACAGTGAAGAAGAGGTAAAAACTGCTCCACAACAGTAGCTGGGAGAGAGGAGTGAGAATAGGTGAGAGAAACAACCTTGCAGCAACCAAGGTCAGTGCAGGAGTGGAAGGAGACGCTCCAGGCAGAGGAGAGATTCCCCTGTGGCCTGTGGTACAGACCATGGTGAGGGCAGGCTGTCCCTCTGCCAGCCATGGAGGTCCATGGAGCAGCAGATATCCACCTGCCCATGGAGGACCCCATGTCAGAGCAGGTGGGTGCCTGAATAAGCTGTTGTAATGGTTTTGAGTTTAGGCCTTCCTTCCTGGTTGCCAGGAAGGAAGGAAGTATTCCATCCTATTCCTTTACGTAATCCAACATATAAACAGACAGAGAGAGAAGCCTCTTCCTCTCTTCCCTTCCGGTGGTTCCCTGCTGTCGGTTCTGCTGTGTGTGGGAGTGGGGCCGGATGAGGCCTTGTGGACCTCGGGAGGCGGAGGGTGCCGGCGGTCATTCAGCGCTATTTTTGTTGTCCCAAGCAGAGTAGTGAGATATTCTTTTGCTAATTCTTTAGTTTGCTAGATCCTGAGTTTTTGATTGTGCTATCTATTTTGGTTTTGTCCTTTTTTTTTTCCCCTTCCCTTTCCCTTTTGGGATTGTATATAGTATTTCAACTGTATATAACTGTACTATACTGTCTTGGTTTGAGATTATACGTAAATACATATATATTTTAATATAGTCCAGCTAGCCTGGATTTTTTCATAATTATTTTCCTCTTTTGGTCTTTGCCGGAGGTTTTCGTGCTGGGTCTTGGGGAGTTGGCAGGGAGCCAAATAAAACTTAGACAGCTGTGACTCCATAAGAAGCCTGCACTGAAGCAGGGTCCTGACAGGACCTGTGGCCTTGAGAAGAGAGGAGCCCATACTGGAGCAGTTCATGAAGAACTGGAGCCCATGGGGAGGACCCACGTTGGAAAGTTCACGGATGTCTGCCTCCATGGGAGGGACCTCATGCCGGAGCAGGGGAAGAGTGTGAGTAGTCCTCCCCCTGGAGAGGAAGGAGCAGCAGAGACAATGATGAACTGACTGCAGTCCCCACTGACATTAAAGTTAGGCTCAGGAAGAACAGAGGATTGTGGGGGAGATGTTTTAAGATTTAGTTTTTTCTTTATTTCTCTACTGATTTGATTGGAAGAATTTAAATTAATTTCCCCAAGTCAAGTCTCTTTTGCCTGTGACTGTAATTGCTGGATGATATCTTCCTGCCCTTATCTTGACCCATGAGACTTTTATTACTTTTTCTCTACCCTGTGATGGAGCTGCTTGGCAGGCATCTGCAGCTAAGGTCAAACTCACCACAACAGTACTTCAGGCAGCCTTCCTTTCCTTTCTGATTCTCAGTGACTTCTGCATTCAAACTTTGTATTAACTTTTAAATCTCATTAGATTTGACAATTTATGGTACATATTCTTTGCAAATCTGTCGTTATCTCTGCTTTCTGGAACTGAATCATGAAAAGGAAGTAAATAGTGATCTAGTTCTATGCTGGTATTTGTGAGCTTTCCACTGAAAGGTGGGATTAAAGAAACAGAAGATATCTGATCAGTGTTTAGTGTCTCACTTAAAGCTGCACATCACTTAGAGCATAACAATGCTTTCTCATGCCAAGCCATTATCTCTGCTACAATTATACCTAGGTATTGCCCACGGTGATATTTGTCACTTAGGAAGACAATTCAAATGTGATACCAGAAATGCAGCAGTAGATGGCATAATTACACTGTGACCTGGCAGAAATTTCAGCTTCACTCTTCTCTTTTGTCTAAGTCACGCAGATAAAATACTGGAAAAAAGTGCTCTATGCACAGCACATTTTGCTCTCAAACTGAGGAATTATGAAGCTGGCTGATCAACCATAAGAGCAGAAACAACATGGTGGAAAATGGAGCTATGTTTTCTTGTAAAAGAAGGTTGTGGTCTAGGCCTAAATTCTTAAAAGAGTGGTCAGAAACAAGCTGGAATTCAATGTTTATATTACCTTCTTGGAATTGCAAGTAATAAAAGTTTCAGAAAAGAAATCCATCCAGTTCTTATGTAGATATGTGGGTAATGTGGTTAGCATTACTAATTTTTGCTTTAAGACTACTTTCTTCCATACAGATTTGAAGGCAAGGTTGATTGGATGTTATAGCTTTGGCTTTTTTTTTAAGGAATCATAATTACATTTAGAACTAACCATAAATCAGACTTTTCCCTTGGTCTTCACAGCTATCAAAGCTTTTCAAAAATTTCATGTGAAGTCATTTTAAATTACAGTAAAATCCCTCACTGCATTTCAGGCTATGATTTGAAAGTGAGGAGTAAATATTAAACAGGTAAACAACCACACCATAAACAACATGACAGAATAGCTTCAAAGTCACATGCAGCAGTAAAACCAAGCTTCCACTACCAGCAGGGGTTAGCAGTACCTTAAAAAAAATGAATTGCATGGCACTTGTTTCTTTCATACTTAAGAATGTTTCAAGATGCTTGCTGTCTTGCAAAATACTTTGATCTTTCTGCAGAATAAACTGTGCAGTAGACATAAGCATTATCTTGCTCATATCGTTCTTATTCATTGAACTGCACTCTCAGAAGGATCAAAACTACTAAAGAAAGAGATCCTCAAAAAGCTGTAGCATCAGAATAGCTAATATCTCGAATATGTGACATAGCAGCTGAAGTGCTCTACAGGCAACACCAATCCCTCTTAGAATCACAGAGTCCATCCTCAGGATCACCTCAATGGGTTCCTCCATTTTCCAGAAGAGCCTTTTATAGCACCTTTGGACAAAAATACCCACAACAGAGAAAAGACATGAATGCCTCCTTTACTAGGGAGGATTTGAGACTTGGAAAAAGAAACTGTTCTTCCAGTTCCACATACTTTTTCAGATTTTTGTTTATATCAGTTGTGATATAAGCAAAAAGGCTCAAGTGAACAAGTTTTCTCTATCCTGTGCATTGCAGTAGCCTTAATTATATGATCAAATTTCTTTCTACAAGACAATTATCTGAGTGATTCAGTGACCAGGATGCTGATGCTTACTGAAAAGAGGGGACTCAGCATTCTCATGTTCTTCTTATTACTCTTCTTATTACTCAGCCTCACAATGTAGTATATTTTTCACACTTTATTCTGAATACTGACCTACTAATTTCTGTGAGAAAGTGAAGTGTTTGTCACCCATAACATCGTCTTAGTATTCCCTTAGTATACTCTGCAAGGTAAAGGAGAGCATTATGATTTCTTTGCTTTTACCAATGATGAATGAAAGCATGAAAGTCAAAGTTAACATGATGACAACTTTTTCAAATCACGGCACTGTGATTCATTAAGTTTTCAGAACTGAATTTCCATTTACTAAAGTTTAGCTGTGAAATCTTAGCCTATATGTGAACTGGAATGCTCGGGGTTAGAAGTAGCATGCATTTAATTAGTGAGGGGTTAATTAGTGAGGGGCTTTGATTTTTGGGTTGTTTTGTTTTGTTTGTTTGTAGGAGTTCGATTTGAGTGACTTATTACGATTTCAGTAAGACTGTGTGCAAGGGAAATTAAATTCTCAAGGACAAGTTTCATCTGCCTTAGTTTTAACTCCTCTTTCCTCTACACCAGTCATCAAATACTCCTGTCTGTGTATCATTCAATCTCCACAAACCTCTGAGAGTTTGGACCATACGCTGCAAATGTTTATTATTTTCACATCAACATCATTACTGTTTAGTACAGTGCAAGTATTGTAACTGTTCAAAATACATTAGGAAGAGCACTCTGTGAGAGATTGTCCTGTATAAATTTACTTATGCATATGTTGTTGGAAACTGTAGTATTCCCAAATCATCTTTTATGAGTGCTTGAGAATAATCCACCTATGCCCAAACTTCATAGCATAAGCCTCTATGTTGCATGTTAAAAACTACAAAAAGGAACAGTTCCCCTCTATTTTTCTCCCAGCCTAAAACTATTTCAAATGCATGTAATCGAGTCCAACTAAATTCTTCAATAATACTTGAACAACTGAGGTCATTATCACAATGAACAATATTACTGCTCCCAGAGGGAAATATTTTAATATGGCATGATGGCAAGGGACTCTTCAGACCTATTCTCATGCTCAAGTCAAATCAAGTTGCATCTTGAGCAGATTTAATTGGTTTTTAAACAAAACAAGCTGTTTTGGAGAAAATGTTTTGCAACATAAATGTGTTGTGTCATTTTTCCTCTTCTTTCTCCTTTCTCCCTGCAATATATCCTGGAAGTCAAATAAAGTTTCCTAAATAGAAAAAATATTCATAATTAAGCTCTCTCCTCACAATTCTATCTCCTTTGCAGGCAGTGGAAATTTGGCAAGTTTGAGTGCCTGCATAATGAGGAGTCTATGGCCTTCTCCCACCGTCTTGCAAGTTTCACTGTTGGAGAATCCATTCCAGTACTGGGGTTTTCTGCTGTTTTTGTTTTTGATTGGGTTTGGTTTGGTTTGTTGGGTTTTTTAATAGCTGAAGAGACCTAGATCTTTTTAATTTTTGTACTTTTATTTCTGTCACTGCCCTGGCAGAGTTCTTCTTTACCACTGGAAAATGTTCTCAGGCTCTGTCTTACAAGTGCTCTCTAAAAGACGTCAGGCACTTTTACATATTTATCTAGTAACAGGTGTTGCCTTGCCCACTGTCTTTTCATGTAACATCTGTCCCAACTCCCTATTTGCCCATAAAAGTCAAGTATGTCCTGCCTCACAGGACATAAAATTGTTCTCTGGAAACAAATAAACTTTCCTTTTGTGTCAATTGATTCCCACAATATTACTAAAACTATTGTTCTGTCAGGACACTAGACAATGTACAGCTGATTAAAAAAACAAAACCAAAAAATCCAAACAAACAAAAACCAACCAACCAAGCAAAAAAACTCCTAACAACAAAACCCCACACCATTTACTCTAGCTTAACAGCTCAATTCATTACACACAACTCGACTTCTTCCCAGAGTTACACATAAAAAGAAACCTGATGACAATTGTATAGTTCCTGATCTTGTTCCTACTAGGTAAACTCTGCTGAGGTTTGCAAATGCAAGTACTGATGTAAGCTTTTTCCACTCTACAGGCAAAGGTGTGTCTCTCCTTCTACTAATTGTAAAGGCCTATACATTTTTTTCTGAACAACAGCTTGGATCTCCACATATTCATACACTACAATTTCTTTCTCCATAGTATTCCACATTCTCAAGTCATACATGGCTTTTCAGAGTTTTCATTCAGTATCTTACCTTTCACTGAATACATTTTGCAAAGCAGTAGAAACCAGATATTTAAGTCTTGCTGCAGCTCCCTCTGACCAGTAAAATTACATCCTCCAAGTTTAGTTTTTGCAAAGAACACTGAATTCTTCAAGTTCCTATGTTTACATCTAGAGTTGATTCTACCAAACAGATTTGTTGATGTAACTGAATGCCATTACACGTAGGAAGACCCTCAGATATACCATGTCTCGATAGCGACTGCTTCCTGAAAAACTGCAATATCATTACCTACATTTGTAGGGTCAAACCTGATTTAATTTTTCTCACCTTTTTTTTTTTTTTTTTTAATTGCATGTGTTAGCACACTACCAGGTGTGGTACGCAGTAATTACTCAGAAATAAGATGGTTTATGCAGAGCTTGGATTTCAGACACCTCTAAGCTACAAAAAGCAAGCTTTCACATCACTCGTTTCTCAGATGCATGTGATCTGCAGCTCTCTTGCAGGCAGCAGTCAAGGAATTTGCCTGCGACTATTCAAGAGGGGACACAATCTGCTCCTGAGGAGAGCGGTGACTCACCAGCAAGCAAGAAAATGGAGTTACTACTATTCAATGTCTCATTTTTCAGTACCTGCTAATTGAGTATTGTGCTACTTAGTAAAGAGATACCACACATGCTGTGAACACTGACAGGCTTTTTTCTGCCTCAGGTTTTGTGGCACCTACAGTTTTAAAAGCACTCAAATTTTATGCTCAAGATTAATTGAACTGGTGTTTAATAAATGCAAGGGAATGACTCCTTTGTATTTTTGCAACAAAGTGTAGCTCTCCTAATTTGGAAACTAATTTTTAATCCTCAGTTTCTCGTGAGATCTTTAGGCTCCCTTCCAAAAAACTAGTACAAAATAAAAATTTTACAGTCACTTTATTGAACCAAGAAGAAATTGTTACAATACTAGTTTGGAAAAAGTATGTGAAAATGCCACATAGAAAAACAGACATTGCACAGAAAATAGTGAAATAATGTAATAGAGATGCAAGTCATTGGTAGATCAGTTCAAAGCTCCTGACACTCGATATATTTATTAGAATTAAATTATGGTTATGAAGTAATAAATTTCAATACAGCATTAGGACTTTCTTATGAAGTAGCAGCTACACTGTCAGGAAAAACTTCAGTGTCATTCAATGAGTGTACATCTGTGAATGGTCCAAAACGAAAAAAAAATCACAAATGGAGTTCTCCTCTAAGGAGAGCTTAATTTAGAATGTTTATAAGACATGGAGGCTTGCTTTCTGAATTTTAAATATAAAATGAAAGCATAGGACCCCATGCAAAGAAATGGGAGGAAGGGATTTCATGTTTCCCATTTGTATTGTTTTCAAAATGCACTTAGTGGTTTACTTCCAGTTGCTCCACAGACCAGACAGGGGGAGACTGCTGAAATCTCAGAGCATCACAGGGACTGCCCAGGATAGAAGGAGTGCTACTGAAATCACAGAACCCTTCTAAGGCTAGAGTAGAAGGAACTGGACACACTGCACATGATAGCTGGGGCTTACCGTATTTCTAGCCCTGCAGCCAGGCACAGCAGTTCTGCAAGTCCCTGAGGCTGTCCTGCCTCCCTTCAGGCACACATGGTTTCCCATGGTTGTCCATTCTGGCAGCAGCCTCTGCTCTGGCCATGCCAGGGCCACTGTGTATCCAAATCCCAGACGCCCCTCCTAGCCCGACTTGCATGTGCAGCGTAAATTCCAACATCCAGGGTAGGAGCCACCCACAACTCCAGGAGGTTGGGCACTGGTTGCAGCCCCAACCCTGTACATCACAACTCTGGCTCAAGCAGGCTCTCAAGTGGGAGCTCCAAAGCCACCACTACAACAAAGAGGACAAGGACACTTCTGCATGTGGGACAGGTGCCCAACAGAGTAACCTCCTCATTGGGGCACTTTGAGGCCTAATGCTGTTGTCTTCCCTCTTTGTCCATGGCTTTCGTCTCCTACAGACAATGAGACTCTGCACTGCCTTGCCAGCGCCTACAGTCTTTCACAGCAGTTGGATTTACTGCTCAGCTCTTGAGTTCAGACACTTGCAGCTCTGGAAATGACAAACGATAACTGCTATTCACCAGCTTCCTCTCTTGCTGCTTCAGCATGTCAGGACACAGGCTACAGGCTTTGATGTCACCACCATGGAGCATCACAGTGATGTTTGAGAGCTTCCCCTTGGAACTCACAGCCAGCTGGTGCCAGTTTCTTGGCACTTGCTGTCGGGCAGGACAAGCCCAGCTGCCTAGGGAAATATCTACAGCTAGGAATCACTCTACTCCAACCCTGAGAAGAGAATTCAAAGGGGAGTCATCTCTAGGAAAAATATCATCCGCTTCTGCTCAGGATGAGTCCCTTCCAACAGAACACTCATATTCTCCTGTCCCTCCAGGATGGGACAAGAAAGCACCTTCTGATGCTGATCTAGCATCCCTCAAGGAAAAAAAGCATTTCCAAACATGCAGTGGCGACCAAAGCACCAATAGGATCCATTCCCTTTGTTCAGAGGAGTGCTCTGGTGAAGCTGATGACTTTGCCTTTCCGAAGAAGCTCTGGAAAATTGTTCAAAGCCAACAATTTCAGTCCATTTGATGGGTTCGTGATGGTATCTGTTTTGCCATTGATGAAGATGCCTTCCAAAAGGAAGTGTTGGCATGGAGAGGACCTCACAGACTTTTTAAAGTCAGTCTTTTCACTGACAGCGTGAAAAGTTTCCCTCATTAGCTCCACCTCTGTTGATTCATCAAAATGCAAAATTACTCTGATCACACCTTGGTGCCTGGTGACTAGAGTCTCTGCCCAGGCTGAGAGCCTGCTGCTTTCCCATGTGCAGGCTGCCCCACAGGAGAAGCTGAGCACATATGCCAGAGACACACACAGGACATGCACGGTACATTGACACAACCACTCACACAGTGCCACAGTCAAGGTATTGCGGTCAAGAGCACCCAAGTACAGGATTTACATAAAACATAAACACACACACAACTTCCTAGATTCACATGCACACATACATTTCTGGATTCCCCAGGCAGCAGCATGTACCCTCCTCTCAGTATCCGTGCGTGGATTTCAGCCTTCTTTTAATCCTGCATCTCCTGAGACATAAGATGGAGTATCTGCAAATTACTGCACAAGTGCAGCCCTTTAACTGGTGCACAAGTCGGACCAACCACTTGCCCCCATATTTTTCCAGGAGTGTGCCAAAATACGGGACCCAACAAACTTTCAGGATCTCTCTGCACTTTTCTTTTTTTTTTTTGCAACAGTTGTTTCCTCTGCATGTTTACGAGGACAGGACTCCATTCTGAGTGTGTACCTAATATGACATGGACATACTCAAAGTTACATCATTTAGGCATCTGATTAAGTCAACTTGGAAATTTACAAATTGTCCTGATGGTTTAGGATGTGCAACTATACTTGTGTTCTTCTTCTGTCTTCTATTATTTGTTGAAATCATATCCTAGCATTAGGAAGGTTCGAGAATGTGAGCAGTATTTTGCTAGCAAGCCTCAGCTGTTCCCACCCTAATTTCTGACAAAATGAAAGCCCATTCCAGATCAATCAAATCATAGAACTATTTGACAGGAAAAAATGTATTTGAATTATACAAAGTGTAGACTATTAAAAAAAAGAAATCATCTTTCAAATTCTTTAACCTTTCTTTTTTTGTATTAGCTGTATTTTCAGATAAACAAACATTTTACAGGTGTAACCTGTTTAGAATGGCATTTGAAACTCTACATGTGAAATTGCAGAGACTATTGGTCTCTGCAAGAGCACATTTTTTATCAAAAGAACCGAAACAACTATACAGAGACTGAATGAGGTATCAAGAACAAAAGCTGAAGCCCCACAGGGCATGCCTGCACTTTGATGCTGCATAGCCCAAAATCAAAAGGCTATACAGGACCCAGTGCAGCCTTTGCTGTGTACCCTCAGTAAAGCAATGCAGGCCAGGACAGCTTTCCTTTCTTGGCTGCACTGCTTGCACATTTCACCAACATACTCTTTAACCTTTTAAAGACAAGGTATCCTAAAATGAAAACAAAGCATTGTGAATTTCATATACCAGGTGAAGCTCCTCTGAGGATAAGCAAACAGAGGCACATTCAGCTAGCAGTTTTATCTAGCTTTATAACAGGCCTCGGAGATTGCATATCACCATCTGCACACTTTGGATTTAATTTCCATGGCTTGGGATGAGCTGAAAGGCCAATTTGCCAACAGCACACAATTGCCTGCATTTTGATTGACTGGCGGATGAGAGAAGAGTTTTGTATTTATTACAATGAAGTCCACTGAATAAGTAACATGGGAAGTATTACCAAAATTAATGGTTCATTCTTGCCAAGGGTGTTGATTGTTGCAAGGAGTGTGCTGACACCCTTCTGCCTTGCTGCACACAAAGCCTTCATCCAATAAAATCAAACATAATAAGAAATCAAAACACCTCCAAGTCTTTCCTAATGTGCCCTAGCGGATCCAGTTGTTACCATAACAACAACAACAAAAGGTACAGTGGATAAGACTTTATTTTCAACA